CTGACCATCACCACGACCTCATCTGCAAATTTGGTAAGAAGCTTATACCATCCCCACACCGGCCCTACTACCACCTGAGATCCCTTGTCCGAGAATTGCTGTTCGACACCACAACCAAGATCCAGCCCATACGTGCACGAACTGATCGCTATAAGAACAGCCCAGTCCCAACCATTGTAAAAATTATCAATAACTTGTAATAAATCAGTGTATTCACTCCCAGTAAACACTGCTCCCTACACTGTCACTATGTTGTAATGAACTGTAGTTTGAGCTGATCCCCATCTAGTTATTATATGTCTTATTTGTGTTCACTATGTTACTTGTATATTATTTGTAATGTAAACCCATTCCCAAATATGTAACTGTATATTTCAGCCTCTCTAGCAAGCTCTTTTCAATAAACCGTTAATTATTATATTATCATTACACACACACACACACACACCCACACCCACACACACACACACACACACACACACACACACACACACACACACACACACACACACACACACACACACACACACACACACACACACACACACACACACACACACACACACACACACACACACACACACACACACACACACACACACACACACACACACACACACACACACACACACACACACACACACACACACACACACACACACACACACACACACACACACACACACACACACACACACACACACACACACACACACACACACACACACACACACACACACACACACACACACACACACACACACACCCACACCCACACACACCACCACCACACCCACACCCCAGACACAGACACAGACACAGACACAGACACACACAGACACAGACACACAGACACAGACACAGACACACACACACACACACACACACACACACACACACACACACACACACACACACACACACACACACACACACACCCACCCACACCCACACACAGACACACACACACACACACACACAGACACACACAACACACACACACACACACACACACACACACACATACACATACACACATACACACACCCACACACACACACACCCACACCCACACCCACACACACACACACACACACACACACCCACACACACACCCACACCCACACACACACACACACAGAGGTTCAGAAGCTGTCGCCATTGATTTCACCAAAGCGTCAACCAGTCGACCACAATATAATCATCAACAAAGCTATTACCTTCGGCTTCGGAGAGTCTTATACCATGGCTCTACAGACTTCCTCAGTGACCGACGCCAAGCTGTACGCCTCGAGGGCTGTTCCACCTTTCAGTCACCTGTGGCGTCCCCAAGGCACCAAGATGGGACCACTTGCTTCCTTATGCTATCAATGATGCCCTAAGAGAAACCCTGCTCGCTGGAAATATGTCGACATCACCATTGGGATCAGGTCAACAATTCTGCTCCCAACTATACCTTCAGGATTTATTGAACAGTCTCCAAAACCGGGCCACCAACAACTATGTCACCATCAACCATACAAGACCATATGGTTATGCACATCAACCTCCTCCGACATTGTCCCACCTCCTTCCATTACTCTAGGTCCCAACACACCCAGGTTGTAGATTCCACTAAGCCCTCGGCGTCACCATAGACAACAAACTAAATTGGAAACCACACGCCAGTGAAGTTGTCAAATCCTCCAGTTTCCTCCCACCTCCTCCCCGACCAAGTCCCTCGGAGTTCCTGCACACGCAGCTCTCAGTGTTTACACAACATTCATACTTCCCAAGCTCACCTATGCCTCCCCACCTGGTCTTCCTCCCTAAATGCCACACAACGTAAATACCTTCAGAAAAGTGCAAAGAGGGCATGCAAGATTATTTCTCCCCTTCCTACTCCACATATCAAAGCCAACACACTGACCCCCTTTCACTCTCACTGACCATCACCCACGACCTCATCTGCAAATTTGGTAAGAAGTTTATACCATCCCCGACACCGGCCCTACTACCACCTGAGATCCTTGTCCGAGAATTGCTGTTCGACACCACAACCGCAGATCCAGCCCATACGCACGAACTGATCGCTATAAGAACAGCCCAGTCCCAACCATAAAAATTATCAATAACTTGTAATAAATCAGTGTATTTCACTCCTGTAACACTGCTCCCACACTGTCACTATGTTGTAATGAACTGTAGTTTGAGCTGATCCCATCTAGTTATTATATTCTATCATATGTTATTGTATATTTGTAATTGTAACCCATTCCAAATATGTAACTGTATATTTTCAGCCTTCTGCTGCCAAGCCTTTCAATAAACCGTTAAAATTATTACATACACACACACACACACACACCCACACCCACACACCACACACACACACACACACACACACACACACACACACACACACACACACACACACACACACACACACACACACACACACACACACACACACACACACACACACACACACACACACACACACACACACACACACACACACACACACACACACACACACACACACACACACACACACACACACACCACACACACACACACACACACACACACACACACACACACACACACACACACACACACACACACACACACACACACACACACACACACACACACACACACACACACACACACACACACACACACACACACACACACACACACACACACACACACACACACACACACACACACACACACACACACACACACACACACACACACACACACACACACACACACCCACACCCACACCCACACACACACACACACACACACACACACACACACACACACCCACCCACACACACACACACACGCACACGCACACGCGCGCACACGCACACGCGCACACACGCACACAAGCACACACACACGAAACAAGACCCATCTCCAACACCCTGTGTGAGCTGGAGGACCTACTCGGACCACGTGGTACATCTGCAGCTGTAGTGAGGTAGCGGCTTAGCAGTCAGGTACAACGGCCATCAAGACAGTGGGAAGGACTCTTGGTGCCGACATCAGGTCACAAGAATGTCTACAAACCAGCTCCCACAGTACCAGATCTAAAGTTAATCTATATGTTGACTATATGTTTCTTATGTATCTGTATTGAAAGCTTTTGTCAATCAAGTGACTCACTCCCCGATTTCACTAAATGTAACTTGTCATCTCTGTTCGTTGTATATTTTCAGCCTTCGGGCTGCCATGTTTTTTTAATAAACCGTTAATTATTATTATTATTATTCACACACACACACACACACACACACACACACACACACACACACACACACACACACACACACACACACACACACACACAGAGTAAAAGTCCAAAAATCCGGATGCCAGAACCGACCACCTGAGAATCCAGACTTTTCGAAAACTCAAACTTTTTTTTTTTTAGCTGGTTTTGTGTGTATGTGCGCATGCGTGAGCGCCACAGCTGCACAGCGACAACAAGCGACCACGCGGTTGCCACTTTAAAACGAGCAATCAAACTGTGACAACGTACAGTGAGTTCTGCTATAACGCGTGTTTTGACAATGCGAATTGGCTCTAACGCGATTTATGAATAGAGGAACGATATTTGTAAAACGCGAACGCTTGTTTGCTGTAACTCGATTTTTGCTTACTATTTCTCCAATTTTGTGGTATTAACTGTGAATATGGTAAAGAAGAATATCTCCTAGAAGCGTTCCCGGTGATGATCGTAAAAGAAAGGCTATAACACTTGAAAAGAAGCTCGATGTTATCAACCTCAAAATCACCCTTCTCCCCCATCAAGTTATATTCATATTTTTTCAAGGTAAAGTGTTACATTTACTGTATGATTTCATTATTAGATATGAATGTAACATGTGCTATCCTTTGTGTTAGGCTAACTACTAAATTTTTTTCGATTTTGAGTAATCTGCACCTCACCCTATTTTCTCCATAAGCCCTGTTATTTCTATTGTGCGAATTTCTATAACACGATGTTTTACAAGAACACAACTATCGCGTTATAGCAGAACTGACTGTACAGTATATTTATTGTCAGGAAAATAACAAATAGTACTTGAGAAATATGTTTTGCATACTGTACTATCACTTGTACAGTTATTTATACTGTCTCTCCTCGATTTACGACCGGGTTCCGTCCCAACGACCAGGTCGTAAATCGAATTGGTTATAAGTCAAAAAGGCGAAAATGATACGTAGAAATTCTAAAATGTGTCTCTTTTTCTTCTCAGCACCACGAGAACTCTCACTTTTACGCTTGCCAGCCATTTTAAAGGGAATTACAAACAAAAATTTTGTCAGTACACAGCGCGATCACTAACGTCAGGACTCAAAAATATGTAATTTAAAAAATATTTTATACGACCACGGCGGTCGTATGTTTGGGTTGTCGTAAGTCGAGGAGTAGCTGTATATGGGAGGTGATGAAGACAAGATCACTGTGTGTGGCAAGTTGGTTTCTCTTTTAACATTTAGAATATTTTTGGTTATTTTTGAGGCTTATAATACTGTATTGTATAAAATAACTAATAATTTTGTTATATCAAGTTAAGATAAGTTAGGTTAGTTTGGTTTATTTTACAAATGATGAATTATAGAATGTAGTACAATAGTGCTGTGTCTGGTACTTTCTCAGTGTTACATGGTGTCTTGGTGGCCCAGATACTGCTAGATTCTATAATTTTTGGGTCATAAAGTAAGCTAAACAAACTTGCAAACCTAACTTAACCTAACTTACCTAATTTACCTTAAACTCTCTCCAGAACAAAGATGATAACTTAAGAAAATAATACTCACTAAAATTAAATCATATGTGATATCAACCAAAAATCTGAAAAAAATTATGTCCCACTGTGGTTCTCCAACATAACTGGTGAGAATCAGTGACATAATTTCTTCACATTTTTGGCCGAGTTATGTTATGCTAATGGTGAAAGTGCTGTTTCATCCAGGTAAACTCTCCCGTACCACAGGCACAAGCAACAGGTCGAGTGGAGAAATATCATTTGGAGGTGGTAGTGCCAGCATGGCAGCCAGGTTCCTCCCAGACACCCTCTGAGGATGCTGCCCTCCACACTGCACTCTGCACCTTACTCAGCACACTACAAGTCAGTAGAGTACTGTACCTCTCCTATGTTTGGATCAAGGATAGAAAAAAACTAAAAGTGGTCAATAGGCTCGGCAGGCTTCCCTTGTCAATGTTAAGAGGCCCGAGACAAATGAGTAGTACCTGTATATCCTTTGAAAGTGAACTTTAACCCCTTCACTCCTGGATGCCACTTTTAATAGTATATTAGACTAACTCCAGACGATTTTATTCAGCAGAAAAAGACCTCTTGTACATGGGCGTCTGCTGGGGCAGTATATATGTAACAACTACCCAACAAAATAACGGGATTTAGAATCTAACAAAAACGAAGGGAAGGAAAAAAGAAACAAAAAGGAAACATTAAAAAATAAAGCAGCTCATTTGCAGCTGCATTGATTTCACAGATTTCACCTAAATTTGTCTAGTTCTCACAATTTTTTGTTTTGGAATCAGATTGTAAAAACATAACCTAAATTTCACCAATCTGGTGAAAATTTTCACCATATGGCAACCTGAGTGTGGGAGCTTGCCTATCGCCTCCCCCCCTGGAGAAGGTTCCAGCAGACACCCTTGCCCTTGTACCCAGGGGGTTACTAAACCACCTCCACTAACCCCCTTCATTACTGAATGTTACTTTGCAGATGCTCCTCTACTTAAGAACATTCGACTTACAAACTTTCAGAGATACAAACATCATCATTAAGGGGGTTACCCGCCAGAGCAGGTGTTTAATGTGGATGAGACTGGATTATTTTGAAGAAAATTCCAGATAGAACATGCATTACCTAAGAGGAGAAGAGTGAGCCAGGTCTTAAGGCTGTATTGTAGGGTACAGCTGTACTAAACACCCATTATCTTTTAATTTTTGCAATATATTTGGTATCTACAAGAGTAAAGTTGGACTTAAAACAATTAGACTAACAAACAAGTCTCAGGAACGTAACTCGTTCTTAAGTAAAGGAGCACCTGTAATATGTTATTTGGTTAACACTAGATTATTTTATTCAACACAGAGATGCCCCATATACAAGTGTACTTCTTGTGGGTACAGTGTAATTGGTCAAATATTGCTTTTGTAATATTTTCTGCTTTTGATGACAGGTGATATGACTTCAGCTGACACAAGAAGTATTTTAGTAATAAAGCTAATTGATGAAAGATACTACTGTATTAATATCATAATTCGATTTACACCACTATTTATTGTAACATACTACTATCGTTAATCTTTTCCAGGAAATAGTTGACCATTGCAGCTCTACAGAAGTAAATGAAATTAACCAAGAAGGAAAATCATACACTTCACAACATGAGTCAAGTGGCACAGATGCTTGTCACAGTGCACAACATCTGTATGACAGTGAAGTGCAAGATGAAAATCATGTTTCCCTTGTGTCTGATCACCAACATGTGAATTTAATGGAGGAGTATATCATGAAGCACCTGCCTGGTGAACACCATAATGACCAGATGGTGAAGAGGTTACCACCCCAGCAGCCAACTACAAAGGAAACAGAAGCAGCTAATGTCCTTATGAATTTGTCAGGCAAAGCAGCAGACAGAACGAGTCACACAAGATTGGGTTCAAGTCTTCCTTCTCACCAGGAGTTCATCATTCCTGATGTGGGTAAACCTTCTTTATATTTATTACCGCCTGGAACATCCTATTCTAAATTTGACTCTGGTATTAAGAGAGAGTACCCTCTTTGTGATGAAGTTCCACAGATTAACGAAAAAGACTTACTACCTCTGGCAACTCAGGTACTGTGCCAGTTTTGTTCAAGACAGTGTGAAGACTTGGTGGAACTTCATGAGCATGTTTTAGCCATGCACAATATACCTGAACCTGAAACACCATTAATGCCTTCTTACAAAAGGGTGAAGAATCACTCTGAAGATGAAGACCTCAAGCACTTTGTTGATGGAAAAAGACAAAAACAAGACATTGAAAACCACGCCAAAGAATGTGCCAAAGATTCCTCTCCACTGATGTGCACAAACACTTTATCAGAAGCACAGGAGTCTAGTAATAAACAATATATGGAAGAAAAGAAATTAAAGAGAAAACCAAAATTGAAAAAAGGGGATAAAAAAGATGGTAGTTGGAGCAGTGAAGACCAGTCTGATCCTTCTAAGGTGGTAAATAGTGATCTTAACAAAAATTGTATAATGGAATTTGGAAACACACCACCATCACCTAAAGAAAATACTCTTGGATCAGAGTTAGACACATACTGTCCACAGGAACAGATTCTTCACAAAAACCTAACACAAGTGAAGAGTGATAGTTTGTATGATAAAGATGAGACTTGGCTAAAACGTCACACAGCTGAAAGTATAACTGAACTTACTCCAGTGGGAAGTGATGCTCTAGCAATAGCCATTGAGTCCTCACAGATCAGAGTTATTGAAGCAAAAGTAACTATCTTTGTGTGTATCAAATGTAGCTGTGGGTTCACCGACAATCAAGAATTTACGGACCACATCTGTCACTCAAGTCAACCATTTGTACGGAGTTATCCCGATGGATCAGTGGCCCTAGTGAATGACAATAACCTTTGTGAGGATCATTTACAGTTGCCAGATAATAATGTTTGGTACTTCCCAGAATTTTTCATCAGGCGGCCAGGAAAGGAAGAGGAAAAGACCGATGGTAGCGACTTGCATATCATTCACAGCTCATCAGGAAGAAGATTGCATCTGTTGACAACCTACCAACCTGCTTATCTCAGTGAGCGACTTATTTGCTTCAGGTTAGTATTAAACTCAAATGTATTTTTAATATTAGGTTCAGATATTTGTTTAAGTAGATTTTATTAATATGAGTTAATATTAGTTAGATTGATTTTAACGAGGTATATAACTCCAAAGGAATGGTAACGGTAAGAACAAAGATCTGGGGAAGACTATAAATTTCTGATAGAAATGAATTATTGTACAGCAATCCTCCACAATGGTATTTCTAGATTTGGAATTCCTTCTAACTCAGAATATTTTCTAGTTCTAAAATGTAGTATGGAAATTTTAAATGAGTGTAAAATTTTTATCTGGTAGAAAATTCTGGAAGTTGACTGGTAAATTCTGCTCAGGTTATAACCATTCTGAATGTTAATTCTGCACTTCTTATCTATAACTTAAGTAATTTCTGTTACAGTGTAATAGAGGTTGTTGTGTGATACAAATACACTGTAGTGCACTGTACAGCACTTTATTGTATGGGTACTTTATTATTTGTAATACATCCTGTATACACACACCCCTTAATTTATGTGGATTTAATTGGTGAAAATTCTTAGTTTCGAAAATATTTTGTTCCACACTTTCATTTGCATTCAGAATCCCAAATTTTACAAAAAAATGATAATCTGTAATGATGAAAATATGCTAAAATAATACAGTGTTATTATTTATTTCACTAAATTATTCCATTATTCTCTAATACTCATACTGTAATGTTATTAATTATACAAATAAATAACCTTTCAATGTGTCATTATTCTCCAACAATCACCATATAACATACTCTTCACTGTACAGTATTCTTAAATTTCATATGTTAATTATGTACAATAAAGGTGGAGAGTTGTCAGAGATAATGTAGAATTTGGAAATGAAGAATGTTTGGAGGTGTGGATACTGCCAGAAATGCATGAGGGAGGGTGAGTGGAGTGTCAGCTGAGATGGGACTGGCTCATGGCTTTGCACCTTTTTGTTTTGAAATTTTTTCTCCTGTGGCTTTAACTCTTTAAGGAGTAGTGTTGCATTTAGGCAATTTTATTCCGCTGAGAGATACCCCTCCCACTCAATGGGTTAAAACGTATCACTAATGACCCTTTAACCCCTTTATTACGAGGAAGCCACTTATTTATATTTTATTTAGCTATCAACAGACGATTTTATTCAGCACAGAGGGGACCTCATATGCAAGGGGTTAAGGAGTAATGTTACACTGAGGCATTTTATTTTGGCTAATGCCAGGCAGCATTATTCAGCTGAGAGAAATTCCATACCGCTCAACGGGATAATGCACCGCTTTTTCAACATTTGAATCCAACCTGCTATGAAATCATAGTGGTGTAGAATTTTCAGTTCCTCTTATATTGTTGTTGGTCCAGTTTTTGCGGATTTTCTACTTTTTCCCCATATATTACTTTCAAGTAAGTTTAATTTTAGTGCTGTTAAATTTACCTCTCTCACTTTGCTATTTGTTTGAGGGCATCGTGAAAGCAAAATAATATCAACATTAAACAAAGAGTACAGAGCACAACCGGACTAATGCTTGAACCAACTTTGTCACAGCTCAAGGCATCTGTGTTTAAGCCATGTAAACAAAGAAGGAATTTGGGATTGATTGATTATGGTTACGATCTTACCGCTGCATAGGGAATTTATGATGGCGTAATAACTGATCAGGGGCCGAGAAGGGATTTTTATTTATTTTTTCAAAGAGAATGTGTCCAATTACTGTACAATATATACTGAAATGGGAGTCAGTGTATTAGTGCAATAATACTGTATAATTATATATGTTGGATTAGAGTTTTGTAGTTCAATACTGTTTTCATTTTGTTTCAAATCTTGTCTGGATTCTCCTCAAATGCAGGTAAAAAAATTATGACTGTACAGTAGACCCTTGCCAACTGCAGATTCTGGATATTCATGGATTTTACTCTGTATACCATTTCACCAACTGCGACATAGAAATTTGAGTATCCACAGATTAGTGTGGCGTCTTTATCCCTCCATGGTCTCATGTATTCCTCCGTAAATTGAGGAATTAATAAAAATACAGTAATACTGTACAGTAGTACAGGGAGTCCTCGCTTAACTTTGGAGTTACGTTCCTGAAAACGTGTCATTATGTGAAACAACATTAAGCGGATCAATTTTCCCCATAAGAAATAGATAAAATACTGGAGTTACATTCCCCAGCCTCCCTTTGCCCCATGAAAAACATTACTTATACCGAAAATCATTGCCATTTCTATAGAAAATAGTATATATACCGTACAGTACTACGTACAGTATACAGTCGGCCCTTAACATGCGCGGGGGTTAGGTAACATACCCGTGAATGTTAAAAATCCGTGTACTTTTGCTGCCCCCCCCCTCCCCCCCCTAAAAAAACCCTGTCCCCCCATATCCTTATTTACCGTATATACCTGTGTGTAGTTCGAGTTTTTAAGACCAAATTATTGGAAAAAAATTGGGGGTCGACTTCTAAACGGGTAATAGTTTCGTTAGGTTGAAAAATATTTACCAGTAACTACCAGCAAACAATGGAAACGACGCACCAACGCACCACCAGCTGTGAGTGTCGGTACAGCTGCCAGGGCAGATCTCTTGCGTCATCATAGCAAGCCCAAAGTAGCCAAATCCATGGTATGGTAGCACAGGACGATGTAAAACATAAAGTTTTCATTTATTAAAGTTTATTTAGAGATACTGGACATAAATTTTTGTTCATTACATTTGAAACATCAATCTTTGTTAATTAAATTTGAAACAAACGGTAACTACGATACCGTATTTTCATTAAAATATTACATCACAAGTATATTTTACCTTAACTGTGACTGAATGAATATACGTATTCTCAGAAATAAATATGGAAATATAATATTTTTGCTGGAATGACGTACATATTACAGTGGAAAGTGGGATAAAATCATGACGAAAACAATGACTTTTGCTTTCTTTCGTTATTCAAAAGATTTTACCGTAATCGCTTTTCAAATGGTTTTCAGTTAAAAAACTGTTGTACTCGTACTGTATTACAATAATATTCTATCTTATCATTAGCCTTATAATCCCACAACTGAAAACCATTCGAAAAGCGATTACGGTAACATCTTTTGAACGAAAGAAAAAGAAAGTCATTGCTTTCGTCACAATTTTATCCCACTTTCCACTGTAATACGTACATCATTTCAGCAAAAATATTACATTTCCATGTTCTCAGAAATAAATGGTAGTTTTGTTGAAACGTAATGTACAGTATTTAATATTAAAATGCAAAAATAGCTATAAAAACAATTAATACACCCGTAATATACTGGCTGGCATTTCCACTTGTCCCTCCTCCCGCGTCCAAGGTCACCACTCCTCCCTGCTCTATCCCTCTGCCTCCTCCACATCGTCACTACTGTTGTATTACAATAATATTCTATCCTAATTCACTTGAATAAATACTACGATACCATATTTCTGAATATTTTCATTAAAATCCATCAAAATCATTTTCCTTGTCATCGTCTTAAGCACCAAACAGCTCTTCCCAGTCTTCTCCTTGAACAGGGCTAGAGGGTACGTGTTTTTCGAATCTTTTCAGTTAAAAAAAATTTTACATCACATGTATATTTTACGTAAACTGCGCCTGAATGAATATATTCTCAGAAATAAATAGTAGTTTTGCTGAAACATGATGTATTTCAATGTAAAATAGGATAAAATACATGACGAAAACAAAAGATTTTACCTAACCTTCCGATGTTCAAGAGATGTTACTCATTTTTGTAATAGTTTTCGGTTAAAATACTGTTATATTACAATGATATTCTATTCATACTGTGCTTGATATACTACATTCACGGAAATGTAATATTTTTGCTGAAATGACGTACAGTTGTACCCCACTTAACGCGGTCAATTGAACCCAGAGGGTCCCGTGTTAAGTGAAATCCGCGTTAAGTGAACAACAGAACATATGGGATTAATTCCAATAGAAACCGGCCCGACCCCCAAACTCCACTTTTTGAAGGCACATACCTATGTTGTAGTAAAAATAACATCTTAATTTTATGATGGTACATGCACACAATTAATACTTAAGAGAAATAGAGAAATACAGTCGCCAAGTTAATGTCCATTCAAATAATGGACTCAACTCCCTCCCCCTCTCACACTACACTGCAGGGGAAAACCACTAAATTTTAATAAATAATACCTCAAACTAAAGTTAGGATAATACAATTGACATTGCTGGATTCCTTGTAAGACCAGGAATATTTTGAATATAAATGTCATATATTTTGGACAAAAGATAACATAGTTACCTAGAGAAAAAATTTTTATCTAAAAATTGTATGTTTAATGCAAAATATATGATGTTTATATTCAAAATGATCACCAAATTATAAGAATTCCAGCAATGTAAATTATATTCTGACCGGGTAAATTGTATGAATTTTATGAGCTAAAACAAATATCTTCAGTTAATAAAAAAAAAAATAATCTTCACAACACTATCTGTCAATCAAAGTACCCCACCTTGCCTCCCCCCCTCTTCCAACCGCGCGGTCAGTCCCAACCCTCCCCCCCACCCCCCACCAATCCTCCCTTCCAGAGTTTATAACATTTAGTATTAAATAATACCTCAGATTAAAGTTAGGATAATATAATTGACATTGCTGGATTCCTTGTAAGACCAGGAATATTTTGAATATAAATGTCATATATTTTGGACAAAAGATAACATAATTACCTAGAGAACAATTTTTATCTAAAAATTGTATGTTTAATGCAAAATATATGTTGTTTATATTCAAAATGATCACCAAATTATAAGAATTCCAGCAATGTAAATTATATTCTGACCGGGTAATTTGTATGAATTTTATGAGCTAAAACAAATATCTTCAGTTAATAAAAAAAAAAATAATTCTTCACGGGGTAACAGATGGTCGGTCGGTCGGTCCCTCCCTCCCCCCCACCCCCCACCCCCCACCAACCGTCCCAAGGAGATGTGTGGGAT